TGGTCCTGCAAAGCATGGCTCCTTTCAGCCCAACAGCTTCCAGCCATCCCCAGTGCTGCTGGCAGACCTTCCTGAGAGTAAGGTCATCATGGCCTTCTTTTTGGCACTTTGAATGAATTAAGACACTGCCAAAATGCTACAGAGGTCTGCCTGACTTTAAACTCACTGCTTCTTCACCTGAGACCACAGAAAGCACTACGATTGCCTGGCTTGACGCTCGCACGCTGTAACATCTCACGCTACAATTGTCTTGCTTCAGCATCAAACGATGACTCAAGGCCATGTCCCCACTCATTCTGCCATTAGTGCAAGCCACTACAAATGCCTGCACGGCAGCTGCGAGTTGGACATTGCCTGTTTGTGTATGAGTCAACAAGCCCTTTCTGCTAACAGAGTTGGGCAGAACTTTATAGTGTTGAATCTCCTGTGATTTCTGTTCCTCTCCATCCCCGCATTTCTCAGGTTTCACTTAGCTTTAGGTGTCTCCCCAACAACAAGGACACGAAACCTGGACAACTCTTGTTAACTGGCTGCATCATGTTCTAGAGAGGGCAAAAAATGACTTGATTAAAAGTGCACGAGCAAGGCAGGAGGCTGCACATACACATGAGTTTGGCTGGGTGAGTTTTTTGTGTCTTGGGTTTCCCCGTGTGCATTTTGGGGACTCTGCTACTGCATTCCCCTCTGCTGTCTGACATCGCTGCAATGTCTTCCTTATGTCTGTATCCCTCCTTTGCTGCCTCCTCCATCACCTCACCACCAGTCCTGCACCCCAACAACCTCTCCCCGCAAGGGGCTCACAGCCACACCAAGGTCTCCCTCTGAAGCGCAGCCCCATTTTCCCAGCCACCCTGTTCTCTCATCCTGAAGCTGTGAGTTTCCAGCATTGGTGCTCCTGGGAAGGGGGGTGTGTAAATGCTGGAAATGTCACTGGCTGCTCTCAGCTGCTTGTTGGATGATCAGAAAACTCTGAAATTGTTTGACACTTAGCTGTGCAGCTGGATGGAAGAGCTGAAGTCTTTGATACCGTGGTTTTTGTCTTGTGTTATATTCCAGAATCTGATCACAGATACCTGATTTTCGGTTGTGACTTCATAGGTTGTTTTGTTAATTGGGTACAGTTAATAAACATAGAAGTGACTTGAAACCAACTGCTTGTACAGAATGCTGCAAAACTGAAGGGGTTTTTTCCCCACTGTTTATACTTCACATGGTACTGCACTGTGGGACTGAATTGTCTGATTTACATTGTCTCTGTGTACAGTGGCATCTCTGCAGGGATTTTTGGCTTTTTGTTTTCTTGTGCCTGGTCTTTGGCAGCTTCTCTAAATTTTGTGCACTTCTGCAACATAAAAGAAAAAAATCCTTAAAGTGAGAAGTATTGCAATGCATTAATGAGGGGCTTTGGGGGGGCAATTCTGAGCTTCTGTAAAGTGTTTTTGTTGGAAGGGAAGCAATGTAATGACTTCAGGAACTTTAATTAAAAGTTCACATCTCCTGATGGACCCAAAGTAATTGCGAGCTGAGAACAAAATGTTGGTTAATGGTGTCTCTGAGCCGTAGACGCCTGATGTTGCAAAGCTGGTCTCTAGAGACAGGGCTGGGAAAGCTGGCGCCTGTTCAGCACTTCTGTGGGAGAGATCCTACAGGAATTGGAAGGAGAGCGGTATCTTTACACAGATTTTTTTCTTCTCTTGTGTGGAATATACCTCTGTCTTAAAATACATTTAAGATCCATGACATTTGTGGTTCAGCTGCTATTCCTTTGCTGCAGCTGTGAAGTAAAGGCTAAATATTCTGTATGTGTAGACTGTCTGAAGCGATGGATTCGGCACTGGTGAGGCTGCACCTCGAGTGCTGTGTTCAGTTCTGGGCCCCTCACTGTAAGAAGGATGTGGAGATTCTGGAGCGTGTTCAGAGAAGAGCCACAAGGATGGGGAGGGCTCTGGAGAACAAGCCTGATGAGGAGCGGCTGAGGGAGCTGGGGTTGTTCAGCCTGGAGAAGAGAAGGCTGAGGGGAGACCTCATCCCCACCTACAACTGCCTCAAGGGAGCTTGTAGAGAGGTGGGTGCTGGTCTCTGCTCCCAGGTGATGGGGGATAGAACAAGGGGAAACGGCACCAAGCTGTGCCAAGGGAGGTTCAGGTTAGAGATAAGGAGGAAGTTCTTTACTGAGAGGGTCATCAGAAGCTGGAACAGGCTGCCCAGGGAGGTGGTGGAGTCACCATCCCTGGATGTGTTTAAAGAGCGGGTAGACGAGGTACTTAGGGATATGGTTTAGGGGGTAGACAGGAGCGGTTGGACGTGATGATCTCAGAGGTCTTTTCCAACCGAGCGATTCTGTGATTCCTGCTATGCTGTGCCATTGTACTGACGCCTCCTGAGAAGTCACCATGGTGGTGGTTTAGTCCATGCTGCTGGCCCTGTCATTACGGCCTGCAGGGAGGCTTTGGGGCTGCTGCCGTGCTCTGGGGGAGGCTGGGTGGGTGCTGGAGCAGTGCCGGGGCTGCATGCAGATCCTCGAGCGTGTGTGGGGCAGCACCTGGTGTGTGTGACCCACCCACGACCAGTTTGCAGACAGAAATGAGGATGGCCTAAACCAGCCATTTTCTGTGCCAGTCCTTCAGGTGAGTAGTGAACTTACAGAGACTCACATGAATGTGTGAGTCTTGGCATCTGAGCATTTCAGTTTTTTTCCAAATAGATACTTTATAGTTGATGAGAAGGGTCATTTGTGTGAAATTACCTGTCCTCTGTGTCTGCAGATGTTGTGCCTTATTACACCTTCCTTCTGAAATGTTCTTTAATTCCTGACTTTCTCTACAGGCTTAATTACTGCCCATTAAAACCTATCTGATCCAGACCAAGTAGTAATGGTGATGGATGGATGGAGGTGCTGACTCACTGAAAGTGCTTCAAAGGCTGTGGAAGGCATCAAGTCACTTCAGTACAATAAATATAAACACGTCAAAAAATCAGAGTTATTTAAAAGTAGAGAATGAGTAAACTTCTGAGAGTGTTAGAAGATGGTAAATGTTCACACAAATAATTGTCATGGCTTTTTCCTGCACTGGAGGTAGAATAAAAAGGGAAGGCAATTCACAAAGCACAGTAGTCTTTGCTTTCTGCAGAAATAATGGATATAAATAGTAAATGTGACCTAACTCTGGGCTCCAGCATCAGCACTGCAGCAACCGAACATGGACCTCTCATGGGCCACGGTACCAAGGTGCATGGGGTGGGCTTTCTGTAGTTGCAATGCTTTAGGATCACAGTGATTGAAACATCGCTTTTTTTAGTACTGTACACTACCTAAAAATGAAGTGGAGTGATTCTGTGCTACCTTACATGCCTGATGTGTGGCTGCTACCATCGTGTGTCACAGCTGGGATCTCTTTATCCACTGCCTCACACGTTGGGCTGCCCACAACTGCTGGTGTAGTGTTTAAAAAACCACAAAATCAGTGTTAAAAAACCAACCAACCAAGGAACCACAAACAAGTGTGTGTGATTTGATAGAGAAGGAAAAACACAAACAAAAAGAAAGGTTTTAAAAACCACATGGAAGGACTTGGCCCTACCTTCTGCCTTGAAATAACCAACTCCAGATTCCTTTTAGAACCTGAATTCCACCTCCCTCACCCACCCTGTCCCCCAGAACAGATTACTGGAACCAGAAAGTTTTATCCCTCATCCCATGAGGTTCCAAGTATAAAAGAGTTACCTTAGAGACATGTCTGATCATCTTTGATCAAAAGCACATGAGCACGTAATTCCTAATACATTGGAGATTGATGCTTAATTGAGGAATTAACGCTGCCAGCAGAGAGCTTTCTCTGGGGCGCTTTAAGTGTGGCCAAAGACCATTTCAGGCTCTCAGACAGAAGCATCAGAGTTGCTAATTGCACTGGGGGTGTTTTCTAATTGGCCTGTGAGGCCCAAGACACTGAAACGGATTGCTGTGTCATTCAGCCAGCTGTAGCAGGCTGCTGCATTATCACAGAGGGAAGCCAGAAACTCAGCTGTGACCTCTGTTACGAACCTATGAGGTGCAGCTTCTTTCCATCTTGCTTTTGTTGTCTTCATGCAGTTTGCCTCATCTCCATATTGACATTGGATAAGGGGGCTGGAGCTTCAAATGGCCTTTGCAATGGTTCACATGTCTAGGCTTTTTAGATGTTTCTCACATTTTCTCACTAGGATGTAGGATGAGAATTTCTCTCTGGTAGATTGGGCACACAGTTCAGTCCAAGCATAGTAGTTTTCCTCTTAGAAGAGTTTAGGAGCTTATGTCAAAGCTGTAACTTAACTTAGTGTGTCTCTGCTGAAACCTTCATGATTCCTTCTCAGCCCTCACCTTTAGGAAGATTTTTCTCATCTTTACACAGCCTATTTACGTATTTTATTTTTTTTCCCCTTTTGGGGAGATTGAGAGAGACTAGATTGGCTCCCTTGCTCCTGCCCCCAAATCAGTGGTCCTCTGCATATAGATCTCCTTTATTCTGAAGTGTACAGGAGTTTGAGTAAAATGTGACTCACTTGCATGTCACTCCTGCTGACGGGATGGGAGGCTTCTTAGTGGTGTACCAGTCCCAAATGCCAGTAATAGCAAACCTTAAGTCATGGCCTTAATAACGTACACTGTTGTGTGGCTCTCTTTATCTACAGATGCAGAAACTTCAACATTAATGTGTTTGGTACCCTCTTATGAAATATACTTGGTTTCTCTAGAGGAAAGACTGATCCAATCTCTTGAAAAATCTTTGTCGCTGTGACTGCCACCTTTAATTAGTTCGGATGGATTTCTGATCTTGCAGGAAATGCAGTTGAGCTATCACTATAGTCTTCATCTTAGTATAAAGATTGAACTTCATTTCTTGACACTTGTTCCAACAAATTACTTGGTTGAAGGGCTGGGAACTTGTAACAGTTGAAATATCTGAAATGTTTGATATAGTTTGCTGATTCACTAAAACTTTTTAAAATCCTCTCATTTCCAGGGTTGCATGCAGAAGTATGTTGTGAAGAACTACTTCTACTACTACTTGTTCAAGTTTTCAGCTGCTTTGGGTGAAGAGATTTTTTATATCACTTTCCTGCCGTTTACCTACTGGAACATAGATCACTCTGTGTCTAGAAGGATGATAATTGTTTGGTCTGTAAGTATTTCTATGACTGCCTTAAACATGTAGTTGTTAATTCTATAACTGTAGCAAATGAACATTTAAGAGTCAGAATAACCCTTCAAACAAACAAAATTCTTTCTACCGAACAAAAGCCAACGTTATTTAGACATGTAACTTGTGTGTTCAGGAAGCAGAGGTACTGCAACGTTGCGAGAGAAGGTGAGAGGTATCAACTGCTGCAGGGTGTCCCTTCATCCCTGTTACATCTTGGACTGACTGATTTTTTTCAGCCCAGTAACTGATTGAGCTGCTTTCGATAGGGTTTGCACAGAGTAGTTGGGAAAACATTTCCTTCCCGATGTGTCGTGGTATTTTAAGGGTCACTTTTCATCACGTTAGGAAATCTTTCTCTTATTCCAATTTGTCCTGTATAACCTCTTCATCTAGTTGTGGCTTAGTTGAAATCTATAAATCGAATAGGAAGAGGATGCACAGGCAGCAGTGAAATAAACAGGGTGCTTCTGCAGTCACTTCATAGCGGGGGGGAATCAGGTTCTCTGTTGAAGGCTATGACTTAAAAGCATTGATTTCTGTTGATACCACAGAACTCTCCAATTAACAGGCTTCAGCATCACTTCAGCTTTCACAAAATAATGAATTTCCATTCTGGCACTGAAAACCAGTAGATAACCAGACACTTTAATCTGGATTGTTTTGTCACTGCCGTTGCTCATCTTGGTATTGATCAGATCTTTGCTGCCCAAATAAGACCATTTTCAAACAAAGAAAGAAGGTAAGAAGCATCTCTGGCAGATGATAGACCCTGAAGGTTTAGTTGTCAATCTACATCGATTTAAGAAATTGAAGCTTAGTAAAAACTTGAATGTGATATCTAGTTTTGTTTTTTTACAGTGAAGCTTCTCCTTGACTTAATCAATTCTGGTTAACAATGTTCTGTCCTTTGTCCAAATAATATGGTGAGAAATAATAAAACCAATTTGAATTGGGTCACACACTTCAAATGCAGCCAGTGTTGGACAGAAGGCATCAGTTGTTTTATAAAGAGAACATGAAAAATAACTTGCAGATGAATTTTAGAAGTAGGCGGACATTGTATAATTAGAGCTGGGTTTTGGCCAGGAGTACACCTACTGCTTCTGGAGATGTGCCACAGAAGATGATAATTGGGAGTCACTGCCTTCTGGGTTTGCACATTGCTCAAAAAATGACTCTTTAATGCTCTTCGCATGCCTTTCTTGCTCGCCTTTACCTTGCATGGAGTCTGAGTACTGGCCTCATCTAGGCTGGCTTAATTAGATTATTCATGCATGTGATATTAAGATTATTTATTTTATTTTTCCAGTTTCTGAGGGAGTTGTGGAGTTGCATTTCATATGGAAAAGGGGAAAATGAGAGGCTGTTTTAAATATGCAGACTGGTGACAATCTGTAGTTTTAAGAACGCTTTCATTATATGTAATTGTGTAATGGCTAAAAATGTCTGTGCAGGCTATGTGTTAATGTTTAGGCCAGCTCAGCTGGGTGGTTTATTTGCTAGTGAGCAGGAATCGGCATCCACGGCACTGTAAGTGGTGTTGGTCTGTCTCGGACACCTCACTCGTGTACACAACAGCAGACTCTGCTCAGCTGCGTGGGAGATGCCGAGGTGTTCAACACGACAAAGCTGTGCTTTTAACTTACTGCAAAAGGCTCTTCCACAGCTGGGAAAGAAGCTGGTATTGAACGGAGAGCCCTAGGGAAAAGGTAATAGTAGTTCCCTTCTAATGTTGCTTGCGATGAAGAGTGGTTATTAGTGGGGCCCTTCAGCAGGGAAAGGGGCAGTGGACCAGCCAGGACCGTTTTGTGAGCCTGGCGCAGAGCACGTGGGTATGTAGGGAACATGTGCTGGTGAAACATGGTGGGGCAGGATGAGCTGTGATGGAGGGTTGGACCCCTGTGTGGGAGAAGTGGGCTTACCCTTGGGCACTGGAGGAACAGAAGTGGTATTGAGTGTGGCACTTCATGTCTTGTGCTGCTGGGGACTTCAACCCGAGTTTCTGCTGCAAATTGGAAATGACAGAGTCACGGTCCGAGGATGAATCAGGGCAGCTTCTTTAAAAAAATTAAAGCAGTATTAATGCTGTTTACAAGGCCTTCCTGCCTTCTTGTCTGTAATAGCTTATGCAGAGCCAGTCCACCCACGTTTGAGAAAGATAAATTCAAACTGGAGCAGGGCCAGGGATGATTAGGGAAGAGGCTATTTTCTGAGCAAAGACTGAAAGCTTAGATAAGTCTCCAACAAAATGAGGCTGGAGAGAAAATGGGGCTGGCTGTCAACACGAGGGGAAGGAAGGAGCTGCTTAAAATAAAGGTACTGCCATGAGAAGAAGCATGCATAAGAGCTATAAATAAGCAAAGTTGAAGCCAAAGGTTGTGAAATAGCTCTAGAAGGATGAAGGACAGTAAGAAAAATTACAGAGAGAGTTGAGTTCAGTAGCAGCAGAGGGGTGGGCTGGGATGTCTTCTCCAGTCTTGGGTCCCCAAAACTATCTGCACCTGGTTTTCTGTTCAGCTGGATGGTCCTGGGAAATGCTGGCTGTGGTCACATCCAGGTGCCTTTGGAGCTCGAAGCGGCACTGTGCTTCCACATATTCACCTTATATGTGTAGGCTTTACCTTTCCCTTCATGGATAGATGAGAGAAATAACTGCCTGAAACCTCCAAACGTGACACTGGATCAATGCTGAAGGTACCCTGATGTCTTTGCTTCCCTTCTTCAGCTCTTTGAAGTGAATGCTCTTGAATCTGCCCAGACGAGGCTTTGATACCTGTGACCCTTGCCTCTTCAACCAGGAAGTGCAGAGATGAAAAATAACTTCACGTGAACCAGCCCTCAAATGTACTTTCAATTTACTGCACATATCAGCTCAAGCGGGGCAAGCTCAGTTTGTTTTTTTAATCTCTGCAGCCTTTCAGGTTTGAAAGCTTTATTTTGGTGTGGGATTTCAGCTTGGTAAAAAAAAAATATAGTTACAGTTTCTGCTTGCCATTCGGCATGCTTGGAAATTTGTTTTTTTTTCAGAGTGTGTGGACATAAAATGTTCCCAGACCTCTTTTAAGCCTAGAATAACTTTAATTAGTACAACATAAATGAGAACTGGCCAGCATGGGCTGTGTCGGGTCAGGTGTGGAGCTGGCTGGTAAGTGATGAGCTCAGGTGGAGGTGGCGTTGCAAAAGGCAGGCAGAGTTTGGATGGCCAGCAGTGTCAGGTGGGTGCCTGCTGGGCTGCAGGTGCCCTCCAGGCTCCTCAAGCAGTGCTGGGCACGGGCATCTTCAGCACATCTGTGGAGATCCTGAGTCTGGATCCGTGGCAATTCAGTTTCCCATCTTGCTTTTCAGAGGACCAGTTTTCCCAAGGCTGCTGGCAGTTTGTGACTCGGGAATGCTGAGCTCTGACGCTGCCTTCCAATGAAACCAGGAGTTTGGTAACCAGAAGGAATTTACTGATGGTGCCACGACGTTACTGTGTGGCGGCTGAAGCCCTGGATTCTGCTTTGAAAACACACTTTGCAGAAAACTTTGGGTTTATTAGTTCTCACGTGTTTGTTAGTTTTTGTGCTTTTGCAATGTTCCACTGAAACAAGCTCAGAAAGCTGACAAACACAGTCACTTGAAAGTCAGACTCTTCGAAGTGCCACATATTATACTGCATAAAAACATGTAAGATGGGCATGTGTGTAACTACAAAGTGTCAGAATACAAAAATTAATGGTCCATAAAAGAAAATGCCATGCGCGAGATGATAAAATGTTGACCGAAAGGTAATATTGCATGTGCTGGTAGTGTACTCTGCCCTTGAAGAAAAAGTGCCAGTGAGGCTTTCATAAGTGAGACCAGCTGGGAATAGTTAAAGGTGAAGTTTAAATAAAACTTTAAAAAGTTTAAACCTTTTGTATTTCACTAGAACTACAAGGTGTTAACAGTTTCCGAGCTTTAGGTGTTAGATGATAAACCGGATCACTGCGAGAGCAGTTTTTCCTGCTACTTAGGATATTATAAGAGATAATTTCTCTTATTTAGATCCATCATAAGACAGTCATCTATCTTACAGGTTTGGCTGAAAACTTTTTACAAACAGAGGGAACATCTGAGGATGTTGGTCAGTTATACCTCTGGAGGCACAGTCTTCATGTTATGGTTTTGTTTTTCTGAAGTCTGACTTGAGAGAGCTAAAGTCCTCCCTCATATATATGTGCATATATATATATATAAAATTAATTTTTTTAAGAAGCTGTCTGTGCTGTCTCTTCCCACCTCCTGTCCCCTGCTGCCCCTGGCCATGGGACACACACTGTGCTGCTGTTCACTGCTGTGTGTAACGCTGCTTGTTGTGGCCAGGAGACCTCCTTCGTGGATGTGCTTCTCACATCATGGCTGGGACAACTCGAGTGTTTGAGCCCAATGTGACCTTGAACATCTCATTGCACCTGACCAAATCCTTGGCCAATGTTGTGTAAAGTTCCTGCACAGCTGACACAATTGAGGCGTTTCCTAGCAAGCAATAATGATGCTGGAGATGCCAGATCCCAGAGCTCTCCTAGCCAGCTGCTCTCTCCTGTAAAAGCACGTGTGCTGCAAGAAGGTGCCCAGATTCACAATTGCCATCTCTGCATGGGGGAAACAGCTGGGTGGCTTGGGGCAGTGAGGGGGAGCAATTGGAGGGTGGCTGGAGGTGCCAGAGGCTCCTCTGTTCTGTGGGGCTTCCTCCACCTGGGCTGCCACCAGGGCAAAAGGCCAGCAGTGCTGCTCAGTGATTTTCATGGTTATCTCCCTGAAGCCAAACCTTAGTTCTTGGCGTTGGCTTGGAGGTAGGAGGAGCATCTCCAGAAGAGCCTACTCTTCCTCGCTGTGCTCCTCTTTGCCAGCTCATAGCTGTCACAGTGTTTATCTGCTCCTTTGAGCCTCAGCTGGGGGTGCTGCGAACAGACGCTGTGAGTGGTGCAGCCTGGATGCTTGGTTTCATTTCTGTGTGA